CGCACCGTGTCGGCAGTCCGGATGTAAAACGGGGAGCCGTAGGGGGAGCAGGTGGGGCAGTGGGTGTAAGCCCCGTGCTGGTTGAGCTCGCTGGGCATCGTGGGGCTGCCCTACACGCCGAGGTGCGAGTGCGCGGGGAGGTCGGGCTCTTCCTCTTCCTCCTCCTCCTCCTCCTCCTCCTCTTCCTCATCGGCGTCATTTTTCTTGCAGCAGTAGTACTGCGGGAAAGGGAAGGGGTTGTATGAGGGGAAGCTGAGCAGATCCCTGCCTCCTCCATCCCCCTGCCAGAGAAACCCTTTGCTGCTCTGCTCCATCGTTCCTGGGTCCTGTGAAGCAGCAGAAGCCAGAAAAATCCTGGAGCTGAGCGTGCTGCAGGAGGCTGCTGCCAGGGAACTCACTCTCACCCCACTGTGAGGTTTGCAAGGGGAAGGTATTTCACCCTGCCAGTTGGAAACTGCTCCAAGGAAGTGCTGTGCTTTTCATCACACAGGCATTGCTGCATGGCACAGACTTCACATTAACTTTTAACGAGCAGGAGGTTGTAGCTAGCTGTTGTTGAAAGCCTCCTCTAATTTACAGGGGGGAAAAATCATATAAAATCTCCATCTGGTATTGCAAACCCAGCTAAGCCTGCACCTCAATTAGCAAGTGCTGCAGGGCCTCAAAAGCCTTAGGGGAGTCCCCCGGAGCTGAGGAGAGGGAAGGATATAACTCTGCAGCACCTGGGGGGACAGGAGGTTCAACTCTGCCCGTCACGGGCAAAAAAGCCCTTCCTGACCTCTCCTACAGCAGCAGCTCAGTCTGAGGAGTCATGGAATATCCTGAGTTGGAAAGGACCCATAAGTATCATTGTGTCCAGCTCCTGGCCCTGCACAGAACAACCCCAAGACCACACATGTGCCTGAGAGCATTGTCCAAACGCTTCTTGAATTCTGCCAGGCTTGGTGCCATGACCTCTTCCCTGGGGAGCTGTCCCAGGGCTTTGTGGCAAGGTGGGGGAGGCTCACCTGTAGCCTACAGTAGCAGAGCACAGCAATAATGCACAGTAGGATCACCGTCGCTAGGATTCCCCCGGTGATAACAACAGTTCCCGCTGTCATCCGACCGATTCTCCATCAAACTCTGCAAGGTAGGGACACAAGGACACAGAAGTCACCTACCATGGTTTTGTCATCACATCACAGATGTGATGCACACAAGGCTTCCCAAAATATTGCATCCCCATCCCTCTCTTCCCAGCCAGAAGACTCTCACCTAATACCATTCTCCTCCTCTTAGTGAGAGGACACCTGAGATGCAGCATCACATCCCTGTGCTGCCATCCCTCCTCTGGCTTGGGGTCTTTGGGAAACACCCTGCAGTCCCCTGGCAGAGCCTCCTGCCTTGCTGAGCCAAAAGGGATGATTTCCACCTTCCTGGCAGAAAATCCACCTTCTGCTCCAAAATGCAGGAGCAAGCCTGGGTTTCCACCATGGAGAAGCTAAAGCAGAGCCTTTAGACTCCACAAATCTGAGCCCAAAAAGGCACCCCAGCTGCCTGCTGGGCACCAATGGGTCCAACAGGGGCTGGGCATGAGCCAAGCAGCCCCCACTGCCATCCCTGTGCCACAGCACCCAGGGGCTACTTACGTTCAGTGACGGAGGCGTTGGACCTGGAAGAAGTGGAGGGAGAGGTTAGCTGTGGCCTTACAGCACCCCCTGCACCCACCCACCCTTCCTCACTCCCCAAGAATCTGCCTTGATTTGGGAGCTGTGGGAAGCTTCACCCCCATGTGCTGCAGGGATGGGGCTCAGCATGTGCCTGGGAGCCTGAATGGGGCAAAAAGCATTTAGGGTCCTGCTGACAATGGTAATTATTAATTACTATTATTATTACCTTCTTTAATTTGAGGCAGGGAAAGAAGGCAATTCCCAAGCTCAGAGAAATGCTCCACACGAGGAGGGCAAAGGCCTTTTCCTCTTTAATTGGAAAGAAGGTGAATGCATCGTGGCACAAGTGGCCAATGTTTTAGGTGCCACTGGGAAGGAAGGGCTCTCACTCATCCCCTCCAGGGTAGGCAAGCCCCAGCAGCCCTCTGTCACCCCTGGGCACTTACCTGGAAAAGGACAGGCAGGATGTCACAGTCACGCTGGCCCCGGAGCGGCCGGACGGGACAGGCAGCACTGCATGGCCACAGGGAGACACGGTGGCCCTGGGAGGGACAACAAGGAGAGAAACTCCACTACCATCACCTCATCTCCCTGCCCAAGGGTGCTGCCCAGTGTCCCCAGCCCTGCCCATGCCACCTCTGTCAGCACAGCAGGGCTAAACAAAACAGTTTTTCAGGGAGACAGGTGAGAAAGGTGAGTGCTGCAAAGGTGGCTAACCCAAACAGCCAGGAAAGGATGATCCTGTGCCCCAAACCTTCCATTTCAGGAAAACTGAGAGACTTGCACCCAAGAAGTGGGTGCACCCATCACCCCCACTCTCCAGTGATGCCTGGCACAGCCACATTTCATTACCAGCCCCCACGTCCCTCTGTGCCTCATCCAGAGCAGAGCTAATTGATAGGGCCCAAGTGCCAGCCCGTTGCAGCCAAGGAGATCTAATTACTCGCTCGCCACGTGGCCCTAATTAACGGAGAGAGGTGGCAGCTTCCAGGCAAGACCTGCCCAACTCTGCCCTGGCCCCTGACTGCCACATGTCCCAGCAGGCATCGTGGTGATCCTCCCCAAAATCACCCACCCTCCTGACTGTGGTGATCTGCAGGATCCTGCCTGCCACAAATTGATTTTCAGCTCTTGGAAAGTTCCTGCAGGAAGCCAAAAGGCAGGCAAGCATTGGATTTCCTCCTCGAGCCGCTCTCACACACCAAACAAAGGAGAACAAAACCCCCAGAGAAATCAATAGGTCCATAACCCAGCTAATATCTCCATCCATCAGGAGACCCAGTGCAGAGCTAATAATAGAGAACAACACGCTCAGCTCCTGCTCCCTGTTACCAACTGCACCCTGAAACACTGCCAGCAGCACAGGGGGACACACAGGAACCTTCACTGGGGCCACCACCTCGCCAGGGGCCTTCCTTAGGAGGGAAAAGGTGACAGTGGGTGGCCAAAAAAGGCAAACATTGACCTTCGGTGACTCCGGGAGGGACGTGCTGTGAGCCGGGAGGTGATGGATGATGCAGGCAGCTGTTTGCATCCAGAAAACTTCATTTCATGGGAGCTGTGATTTGATTTAGAGCTCAGAGAGCAGCATCCAATTAGCCTGAGGTTTGGAGCAAGCAGGCAGCCTCAGAGAATGACCCTGGGCAGGGAGGGTCTAGCCTTGGGGACCCTTTGGTCACCTCTGAGACCTGTGTCCAACCAGTGCTGCCTCGAGGACAACTGGGCTCCCACATGCCCCAATTTCAGCATTCCCATTTCTGCAACTGCTGGGATCAGCATTTCACCATCCCTGCTCTGGAGCCAGGCTCTTCCTTATTAAAATAGTGAATGTTGAAAAAGAGGCAAGAATGAAAACAGCGAAAGAGAAGCACTGCCTTTCCTCATCTCTGTGGAGGGGATGTTTTCCAAAGGGGGGGAAGTTTCGACCCTTTGCCCCCCAGCAAACCCTGCCCACTGACATCCCAGCAGTTCATCTTCTACCTAGTTTGTGCCTATAAAACAGCCTTCTCTAGCTCACAGCTGTCTCCTGCAGAAGGGAATGTAAGCCCTCCCAGGGAAGGAGCAAGAGCCCCAGACTCAGGAGTAATTAGGTCTTGGGAATTACAAGCTCAATATGCCCAGAAAAAGGCAGGACAACTACAGCAGCCGTTTCACAACAGCCCCAGCAGCCACATCTCTGCTGCCAGGAATCAGCCCACAACCATATTCCACCCTCCCTCCCTCAGTGCATCCCAAGATGCCAGGAAAGGGGCATTTTGTGCTGCACTGGCTCAGCTCCACACAGCCCCCCCAGCCCATGCCAACAAAAGGCTGTACATTTTCAGGGATCCCCCTAGAAGCCTGTGCTGCAGTGTGAGCCAAGCAGAGCCTCACAGCTCCTGCTCTCGCAGCAGGATGGGATGCAGAGACATCCCAGAGGGATGCACAAGCCCAACTCCCCGGGGCACAATCCCATTTCTCCCTCTGGCTTAAAAAGGGAGCTGAGAGTTGTTTAAACATTTAAATATTCCAGGCTGAACAGATACCTTGGCACTCACTGCTCAATCCATTCCTGGGCAGCTCAGGAGAGGGGGCAACCCCAGGGTGGGAATGGGGACCCTCTGGCACACAAACCATGGATGAAAAAAATCAGGATTTATACTAAAGGAGCTGCATTACCCTCCCTGCCTTTCGGGGAGTGATTGAGGATGCTCAGCAGCAGCAGCAGTGTGACACTGTCCCCTACAGGGCTGGGAGCAGGTGGAGGGAGGGTCCCTGGTCCTATTGAACTCCTCTGGGCAGATGTGCAAAACTGCTTGCTGCAGAGATATATTTTCTTTAATTGATGTTGCCTCACAGCGCAAAGTTACGGCCTGAAAAGTGACTCTGGGAACAAGTGGCATCTCAGGCTTCTATATTTATTCTCCTTCAATGACGTCCATCGCAGATTTGCGCTGTTCCCAAGTCGAGGCTGAGGTTTTTGCCAGCTGCCAGCAGTCTCAGCCCAGCTGAGATGCTCCTGTCCTTCCTGTGTGTCCCACCAGCCCCGAGCTCATCCCTGCCACCTGGCAAGGGTCAGACACTCACACCAGAGCTCAAGAGCAGGTTTAGGCTGGGGCAAAGCACAGTTATTCACCGCGAGCATCATGCCAAACCTTGCCATGAATTCTGCCCCGGCTCGGGCTCTGCTCTCCTGGTTTTGCTCTGCAGCTCACGGGATAATTCAATGAAATGTCTGCCTGGTAAATTAGCTCGGCCACTGCCTCACCAGAGTCATCTCCCAAGGCCTAATTGGAAAAAAACAGCATCAGGGGCTGCCTTTTCAAGACAGATTACAGCAGCAAACAACAGGGCAGCTCCCGGGCAGCTGCGACCTGCCCTGCACGGGCTCAGCCCGGTGGGATTCAGGGGGATAAACCCACAGTTGCTAACCCCCAGCCACGGGGCAGGGTGGGTGCACAGGGAGGGCTAAGGTCCTGCAAACTCACTGCATGTCAGAGGCTCTGTGCTGCAAAGCATAAGAGGACAAGCCATGCCATGAGGCAGCAGTAACACGGAGAAAACCACCACCAAAATGAGCCAATGCAAATGAAATTTTACACAAAAAGTGACGGCAATGTGGGTTGCAAGGGGACTGCAGGGGGCTGTGCCCACCTGGCAGCACCTCCCTGGTCCCAGCGCTCACCCCCAGGCTTCTTGCCCAGGTCCCAAACCCCTGGGTCACTGTGAAGCCTTTAAACTTCTCATTAACAAATCAGCTGAACCTGCTGCTGGTTCTGCCAGAGTTATATTGGAGCCTGGACCAGCCTGGAGCCTGGGAAAACTTTGATTTCACCCTGCTGCAAAGAGCAGCAAATAAGGTGTTTTTTCTCAGCAGAAAGGGTGTTTTGTACGACTCATTTCCTTCCCGAGGCTTTGTCCTGCGGTGATGCCTTTGGTGCTTTGGGCCACGTGGGGTTTTCCCAGCAGTTTTGCTGCAGCCAACACCCTGCACCCGGGCACCGCAAGGACAGCCAGGTCACAGAGGTGACACCGTCCCCCAGCTGAGCCTCCGGTGATTCGCAGTCAGTCATCAAAACTGAGAATCCTGTGCCCTGCCCTTGCTTTCCCTGCTGCCTCCTCCCCAGCCGAGGGATGGGAGAGACAAAATACCAACAAGAATCTGCAACCAGCTCTTTTCTTGCAAAAGTTTTGTGGAAAAGACAAGATATTAACTGCAATTAACAAAAAATCAAACCCCTTCAATGGTGGAAGCCTCTAGCCAGACTCCAACCCCCAGGTGGGCACGAAGGGCTGTGCTCCTGCTGCTAACACTGTGCTCCCACCCACTGAGCCCAGGAGAGCCTCTCTCTGGCTATCGAGCTTTGCCAAAAACCACCTTCGACCCAGATTCACTGCCTCCCACTGCCAAGCCTCATCCTGCCCTATGGGAGCCCAGGAGAACTTCCCTGCCAATGCAACTGCCTCTACAG